CTCTCTTGTTTTTGTGACTCTATTGTATGTTTTTGATTTGTAGTTAACATGGGATTTATATATGTTGACCTATATGTCAACTTGTTACAAAGTGGTAGTCATTTAAGCTTAAACACATTATAAATGATCTACATATTTTACTCCCTTCCCCCATGTTTTTGTTTTTGATGACATATTTTACACCTTCATATTCATTCCTTAATTGTTTTGTGTACTTGATTTTACAGTTTTTGTCTTTTAGTGTTCACATTATCTTTTTTAAGTGGTTCATCCGTAGTCTTCACTATATATTTGCCTTTATTAGTAAGATTTTTCCTTGCCTGTGAATCTAGTAAAGTAATGCTCAAAATTCTCCAAGTCAGGCTTCGGCAATACGTGAACCGAGAACTTCCAGATGTTCAAGCTGGTTTTAGAAAAGGCAGAGGAACAAGAGATCAAATTGACAATATTTGCTNAGTGCCGAAGAATTGATGCTTTTGAACTGTGGTGTTGGAGAAGACTCTTGAGAGTTCCTTGGACTGCAAGGAGATCCAACCAGTCCATCCTAAAGGAGATCAGTCCTTGGTGTTCATTGGAAGGACTGATGCCGAAGCTGGAACTCCAATACTTTGGCCACCTCATGTGAAGAGTTGACTCATTGGAAAAGACCCTGATGTTGGGAGGGATTGGGGGCAGGAGAAGGGGACGACAGAGGATGAGATGACTGGATGGCATCACGGACTCGATGGGCATGAGTTTGAGTAAACTCTGGGAGTTTGTGATGTACAGGGAGGCCTGGGGTACTGCAATTCATGGGGTCGCAAAGAGTCGGATTCGACTGAGCAACTGAACTGACTGACTGACATTAATTCTTATTTCTTACCGTAGCTATTTCTTTTCCACATAGGGAAGACTCTTTAGCATTTCTTTTAGGCTCAATTTAGTATTGAACTCTTTTAGTCTTTGCTTGTCAGAGAAAGTGTTTTTATCTCTCTTTCATTTCTAAATGATAATCTTGTGGAATAGAGTATCCCAGGTTGTAGGCTTTCCCCTTTCAACTCTTTAAATATATCATCCCACTCCCATCTGGTCTGCTAAATCTGTAGAAAAATCAGCTGATAGACTTATGGTGTTCCCTTGTGTGTGACTTTTTGTTTTTCCTTTGCCACCTTTGCAGTTATCTCTTTATCTGTAAGTTTTTCCGTTTTAGTTATGATATCTCTTGGTGCAGGTCTCTTTGGTTCATTTTGTTTGGGGTCCTTTGTGCCTCCTATATCTGGATGTTTTCTTCTTCAGGCTCTAGAAATTTTTAGTCACAATTTTATCTAACACATTTTAAACTCCTTTCTCTATTTTTACTTCTTGGACCCTATAATGTGAATGTTAATATGAATGCTTGATGTTGGCTTAGTGATCCCTTAAACTATCCTTACCTTTAAAAACTTTTCTTTTTCCTGTTATGATTGGGTGGTTTCCATTATTCTGTCTCACAGATTGCGTGTACATTTTTCTTTGTCACCTAGTCTGTTAATTCCCTCTAGTATGTTTTTCATTCCAGTTGTTATACTCTTTTTTAAAAAATATAAATTTATTTATTTTAATTGGAGGCTAATTACTTTATAATATTTTATTGGTTTCTTTTTCTCTGACTGGTTCTTTTTTATATTTTCTAGTTCCTTGTTTAAATTCTCACTATGTTCATCTATTCTTTTCTCAAGTTCAGGTCAGTTCAGTTCAGCCGCTCAGTTGTATCCGACTCTTTGTGACCCCGTGGACTGCCACACGCCAGGCTTCCCTGTCCACCGCCATCTCCCAGAGCTTGCCCAAACTCATATCCATCGAGTCAGTGATGCCAACCATCTCATGCTCTGCCATCCCTTTCTCCTCCTGTCTTCAATCTTTCCCAGCATCACGGTCTTTTCCAGTGAGTCAGTTCTTCGTATCAGGTAGCCAAATTATTGGAGCTTCAGCTTCAGCATCAGTTCTTCCAATGAATATTCAGAACTGATTTCCTTTAGAATTGACTGGTTTGATCTCCTTACAGTCCAAGGGACTCTCAAGAATCTTCTCCAACACCACAGTTCAAAAGTATCAATTCTTTGGCACTCAGCTTTCTTTATAGTCCAACTCTCACATCCATACATGACTACTGGGAAAACCGTAGCTCAACTAGATGGACCTTTGACATGACTACTGGGAAAACCGTAGCTCAACTAAATGGACCTTTGTTGGCAAAGTAATGTCTCTGCTTTTTAATATGCTATCTATGTTGGTCATAGCTTTTCTTCCAAGGAGCAAGTGTCTTTCAATTTCATGGCTGCACTCACCATCTGCAGTGATTTTGGAGCCGAAGAAAGTAAAGTCTCTCACTGTTTCCATTGTTTCCCCATCTATTTGCCATGAAGTGGTGGGACTAGATGCCATGATCTTGGTTTTTTGAATGTTGAGTTTTAAGCCAGCTTTTTTACTCTGCTCTTTTACTTTCATCAAGACGCTCTTTAGTTCCTCTTTGCTTTCTGCCATAAGGGTGGTGTCATCTGCATGCATATCTGAGGTTATTGATATTTCTCCCAGCAATCTTAATCCCACCTTGTGCTTCATCCAGCCCAGCATTTTGCATGATGTGCTCTGCATATTGTTTAAATAAGCAGGGTGATAGCCTTGAAGTACTCCTTTCCCAATTTGGAACCAGTCTGTTGTTCCATGTCCGGTTCTAACTGTTGTTTCTTGCATACAGATTTCTCAGGAGACAGGTAAGGTGGTCTGGTATTCCCATATCTTGAAAAATTTTCCACAGTTTGTAGTGATCCACACAGTCAAAGGCTTTAGCGTAGTCAATAAAGAAAATGTTTTTCTGGAATTCTCTTGTTTTTTCTATGATCCAACAGATGTTGGCAATTTAATCTCTGGTTCCTCTTTTCTAATTCCAACTGGAACATCTGGAAGTTCTCTAGTCTTTCCCATTCTGTTGTTTTCCTCTGTTTCCTTGCATTGATCACTTAGGACGACTTTCTTCTCTCTCCTTGCTATTGTTTGGAACTCTGTAGGTTTTTAAAGCCATTTAGGAGACTCATCTTCCTGATTCCAGCACAATGGCTGGGGTGCCCAAACCCCTTACTCCTCAGGGAGAACCTCCCAACCTGTGATATCCCCTTCTTTTTCTGTGCTTCGTGCTAGGCACTGGTCCTGATCACTTTGCCTTCCTCACTACTTGACTATGTGGGTCTTTCTTTACACCCTTGGTTGTAAAAGAGCCCTTCTGCCAGTCTCTAGTTTATTTTTAGCAAGCCTCACATATAGATCTATTTTTGATGTATTCAACAGGAGGAGGTGAGCTCAATGTCTTCTACTCCACCATTTTGATCTCTCTCCATTTCTTTTATTAAATGTATTTTGTTTTCCTGATTTTTTTCAATTGTCTCTCTGTGTTTTCTTGCATTTCATACAGTTTAAGATAATTATTTTACATTCTTCGTCAGGCAGATCATAAATCTCCATTTCTTTGGAACCAGTTATTAGACCTCTATTACTTTCCTTTGGTGGTGTCACATTTGCATAATTTTATGTTGTCTGTGCAGCCTTGTATTGGTGTCTGTGCATTTGTGGAAGCAAATACCTTTCCAATCTTTATAAACTGGTTTCTTGAGATAAAAACCTCCTGTCTGTTTCCTGAGCTGATAGGATTGCATCCATAACTGCTGTTGTGAAGCATGCATGGGAGGCAGTTTTGCTGGGTCTGTAGTGGCATCTATGACTTGTGGGCTTGTTACTGGGTCTTGGGCTGGTATGGATGAATCCCTTCTGGCCCCTGGGTGGATGTGACTGCCTGTAGTACCTTGTTCAGTAGGGTAGAACTGGGACAAGAGTCCGCTTTAGGGTCCATGCATGGGTTCTCAGCCAACAGGTCCTTGTGCTAGGAGAATTTATGGTGTTTTTGGGCCCTCTCAGAATTTCTGAGAGTATAAACAGGAGTCTGTCCTATTGGGTATATTTGGTAGCAGGACTGTTCACAGACTGCTGTTGGGAGGGACTGGAATTCAGTGTAGGGCCCTTTCAGATCTCCAAGTAGGAGTGTTTCCCACTGGGACACTGGTCATTCAGGATTGTTGTAGACTGGCAGACTATGGATATGAGGAAGCTAGAGTCATATATAGGGCTTTTTCAGAAACTCCAAGGGGCAGAGACAGGAATATCTTCTGTCTGATCTTTGTGCCAGCAGAAATTCTAGCATACTGTGGCAGTGAGGGGTCTTGAGCTGAGTATAAATCCTTTTTAGGATCTTAGAGGGCACAGACAAGCATGTTTCCTAAGGGGTTCCTATGCCAGCAAGATTGTTCCTAAACTGTGGCTGAGACCTGCTGGAGGTCTGTTAGGGGGCCGTTTCAGAATCAACAGTCTAATGAACTATACCTTACTTCCAGGGGCTCTCCTCCAAAGGTGGAGTGAGCTGGAGCTGGTTCAAAGCCCACTTCCTGGTCTACAGCCAGGAACAAGTTCTTGATTATGCCTGTTAACCTGATACATGGATGAATGTGACTCCTCTGGATCTCTTGACATATGGGATTTGCTGGTGACAGACCCAGAGCCAAATGGGATTGTAGCTGAATTCTCAGAGGAACAGAGCTATTTCTGTTTCTATAGCTGAGACCACAGTCAGTGAGTCAGCTGCTTAGAGGCAGTTCTGTCTCCTCAGTGGAGAAAATGGACTGCACCTTCATAACCTCCAACCTGGATCCTGAAGTTCCTGAGAATGCACTTTGGTCTGTGCATGCAGATGCAAAATTATTGTTGTTGAGGGGGGTTGATATGTGAGGGACATCTTATTCAGCCATTTTCCTGGCAAACAATGCTGTATAATATAATTTTCATTAACTAAGGCCATGATTTTTCAACCCTTTATTTACAAAAATAAAGGTAAATAATAAGCCAAATGTTGGTTGCTAAGTAGGTTAGTTTTTTTCTTTGCACATTAATATTGATGCTAATTAAAATATTAGAATCCTTAACTTTTATTATTTTAGACTTGGAAGACCTGGTGTTGATTGTTATTGTCAACATGAAAGTGGTGCGGCTGTCCTGCAACTCCAATTCTTGATCAATGAGGTAAGGATCTTCTTGAATATTTATATCTCACACACACATTATATAATTGTTTTAATAATAATTTTCTACATGCTTAAAGATGTATACATATGAAATATTATTCATGGTGACATTTTTCGTTAAAGACTGCACTCCTGTATTTGTTAATTTATTAAATTTTAAAGGAAAAATTTGTATTACCAGAAGAGCCTGTTATTGTGATTATGTAGCATAATTTATAGATTAATTAAGTGGTTTTTAAAAGATTACTAAAATCCTTTGTTTGCTATACTGACCATTAAACTTTCACTCTACACTCTCCTTTCACCAATTTGTTTAATCATCTAGTGTTAATTTTCATGTTTTGTCTTTATCTTCCATTAAATAATCTTTTCAGTTTTATAATTTGAATGTCTTTGTTTCTATCTTTATAATCATTTGTTGGCATATGAGTGCATAGCTATTTTGACAATTGGCTGCCTACCCTATTCCTATTTTTATAGACCTATGGTGATGAGGAACTCCCTAAAGACGAAGTTTGTAAAGCTCAGAAAATGTAGTTAAAGGCTGCTTAAGGCCTTCTTGACTCATATTTTTTACAATGGATCCTTTAGTATTCTAGAACTCTTTTATGTTATGTGAGTCAGTAAATACAAAAATGTTTTAAGAGTTTATGCCATACCAAATTTGAGCACTTAGCAAATTGGTCAGTATGTTGAGAGAAAAACATGAGGTATCATTGGTCATTTTCTTATGGCATGAATTATGATCTTTTATTTGACAGCTCTATGTATTTGCGTATATATTTATATATTATATAATTATATATAATTATATATATATAATATATATAATATATATTATATATATAATAAAATTATATATATAAATTTATAAGAATTTTTACTCATAAACATGGGTAAAATATTTCGTATAACTTTGTATCAGTGATACCTGAGATATGAAGAAGTTATGATACTGAGACATGTCCACATTTTACTTTTCTTGACTCAAAAATCTTTTTCAGAAGGCTGTGAGATTCTTCTTATTGACAGACCTAGCATATTTCATGTGGTAGGCATATTTGCTATGGGGTACCAAAATGAGAGAGGGAAATAAAGAAGAGCAGGGAAAAGATTTTTTAAAATATTTTATTGTAATAGCTAGTCATTAGTATCTAGAATGACAGCCTTTTTGAAATCTCAGTGTTACACTGTAGCTCCCAGAGCAAACTCTGGGAGATGGTGAAGGACAGGGAAGCCTGGTGCACAGCAGTCCATGGGGCCGCAAAGAGTCAGACACGACTGAGTGACTGAACAGCAACAACTTCGCAGCTCCTAGTTGAAAGATCTCAGTCTTTCAAGCCTTCTGTATAGATGTTTACTGGTAATCGTAAATTGTTTCCAGGTGATTTTCTCTGTGTCCTGTCCTCTGAGACTTGTCTTTAAGGCCTTAAATTTGCTTCTGTGCTGTTACATAACTAAGAATAAATAAAGACATGTCTTCAAAACTGACAAGCCTGCCAGTGTTTATGTTGTCTATCCTCAACTACTCACCTTGATCTGCCTTTAAATTTAATTTCTGTACTTTTCCCCAAACTTCCCAGCCTCTGACCTCATGACACGTGTTTTTATTCAATTTTTAATCTTCACAGGTCTTCATTAGCAGTGCTTCTTATAGATTTGTTTTCGTAAATGAGTCCTAGACACCCTGCTGATGGGTGTTATGTCTCTGCTGGCACTGTTACATTCAGATGTTCTGTTTACTTCCCTTAAATGCTGTTATCTCCTAGTTTTTTCATAGTATTATTAATACTGACTTCCTTCCTATATTATATACTCAGCTATTACACTAACATATAATTAAACATCTGCTGGTTTATTTTACTTTCATTGCCTTTGGCATAGTATATATGTTTTGTATAGCACGAACTGCATTTTATTAATTTCATGTATCATGAAATGATATTATGTTTTATTCATTTTGTATATCATGGTCTATCGTCACCCTGTGCCAAATGAGTTTCTGCCTTCTTGAGAAATGAAGTCACTGCTCTATAATTCAGAAAAATTGTAGCTCATCAAGTACTTATATTTTCTAGTTTGAATATGTAAAGTAGTTGAGAACAGCTTACAAATAAAGCAAGCATACAAATACAAAAATCCTCAAGGTGTGTGTAGGATTCATTTTATTGCATGTGTAATTACCTGTGAGATCATGTTAAAATGTATGTATAAATGTATACCTCTTTGAATATGTGTAATTTACATATTTATGTACAAATATGCAAATTACATTTTAAAACATTTTAATGGTTATACTCTGTTATGATTGTTGTTTTAAAAGCTATTTTTCTCTGAGACTAAAATCATAGTTACATATTGAATAGTGTCAAGAGAACCATCACAATACATGAGCATCTGTTTGTCTTAGGAATTGTTATGGAAGTGTCATTTAGATTCCTATATTCATTAATTCCTAAAAAAGAAATAAATTCAGGAATTTCAGTATAGCTCTTTCTAGTATTTACATGGGCTAATGATTTTGATATCTGTGGTTGAGTTAATAAACTATGAAAGCTTACTTATAACAGAGTACTTTGAAAAATATAAGAAGAATTTTAGATATCTCAGGACTACCATGATTGTGCAAGATCAGTTTTACAGAACATACTCAATAGCTTCAGGCTCTGACATAGGGCAAGCATTGACATTTTTTGCTGGGAAATTCATAATGGCAAAAGTTCTGACATAGTTTTAAGATGATCTAGTTAACTCTGAAGTAAGTAGTTTAAATATATGTATAAGAAGTCATACATGGCAGCTAGTTTTCTGCCCATGTTGTGTCTGCCATACTAATAGGTAGACCCCATCCTATTTTAAATATTTGAAGTAGCATTCATTTGTATTTGGAGGCTTTCTATAAAAAGGCTTATTATTTTTGTAGTTATACTGAATTCTTGTTGGAAAAATGTTTACTTTTACTACAGATGTTTGCTTTTGTCACAGATGAATCTTCTTGAACTGTAAGACAAATTAAATTATATCAAGTATAAACTTTTTAGGAAGAATATGTACATCTCAACTGTATAGAAAATTTTTAGAAATGGTGAATTTTTATGTGATTAGATTGCAGTTTTAAAACTGAATTGGATATTTGCTTCTCTGTAGAGCTACATGATATATATGTAAATAGTAGAAACAAAAAAGAATAGATTTTCACAAAGAAAATATAAGAAATCTTTAATAGTTACAATAATGCTTATAATAATAATAATAATCCCTCTATTGATAAATGCATATTCCTTGAGCTAATCATTCTCACCAATCCATATATGGTAGTTTACCTCCTTCTTCTACTCTTAGCATTCTTAGGCTTCCTGACTGAAGTATGTTCATTGTCCTTTCTTGTATTTCTACATTATATAAATACAAATAACTTAAAGAGCACTGAAAAATTCAGTACATTAGTTTAGGTTTTGCTTCACAAAAAACATAAATTAAGTAAATCACTCATTTTGTCTTCATTTTGTTCTAGGGTGCTTTGGTCAGTGCAAGTTCAGATGATACACTTCATTTGTGGAACCTTAGACAAAAAAAGCCAGCTATTCTTCATTCTCTCAAATTTAACAGAGAACGGTAAGAATGTAAGAGTTACACAATTTCTTAATGTATAAGAAAATGATTTGCTGAACAGGATTCAGGTTAATTTTTGAAAAAAATTTTAAAATAATTTTAATAGCTCTAAATAATATTTATGCTTGCTTTTATAATAGTTATTTACATAGAAAATTCACTGATAAAGATTCAGTCATCTTCTAGTGGAGAACTCCTAGCATTCTTCTCTTCTCTATAAACCAGAACTTCAGCAATGGGTGATACGTTCTCTTTCTTGGGCCAGGGTGCTGAATACTCAGTCCTAAAATTTAAAAGCCAAGTAAATACTGACTGTATTTCTACACTTTTTGATCTTGGAAGTTACCTCCTACACTTTCACTTTTTTGCTTAAATTTATTTTTTACCTTAAAAAATATGAGACAGAGATTTTAGACATCCAAAATTGTTGGTACTAAGTGTTGAGCAACGTTATACATTCAAGATTAACATTTTCAGAGATGATTAATTGATCAGAATTCAAATTCTTCCACTTTAGAGTGAAATAATAACTGGAAAAAGTTAACAGATATGGAACAATTATTAGAACGGATATGGAAGAATTATTAGATTTTATTTGTAACTGTACAAAATTTTAATGTTTCTAGTGTTTGTTTCAACCAGAGCTAGAATATCACAGACATCTACTTAGCTGATAATCCATTTCAAGATGAAGTAAAATTTGTATATTATTAACCATCTCTGTTATTTAACTATCAAATGATTTGATTTTTGTTTAATTATTTGGGAAGCTGTCAGGCTTTTTGCAGTGATTATGAAGGGCTAGCACAGGAAAATTTGATATTAATGAAAGAGGAAGAAATCTCTGAGAGGTAAATTTACACAAATTAGCAAGTACTAGTCACAACTGAGGTAGGTAGATAATAGAGACAGTCACTGCTGAGAGCTCAAGAAAGTACTTCTTTTATTTTGTTGAATGGTTATAGTTCATATGGAGTCATCACCATATAGGCAGAGCTTAATGAAGTAAATGTGTTTTTATAGGTTTGATGAGAACAAAGAATGGCATCTGTTCTTTTCTACATTCATTTTTCTACCTGGAACTTTTTCTTCTCATTTGCATATTACTTGACCTTCAATGTTCTGAGTAATATTCATGAGTGTTATATCCACAGTATTTTGGAATTCAGCATCAATGAAAGTTTTTATTATATCCAGTATTTTTTTGAGTGGAGAAAATTTGTATTTTAGCTATTTGCTTAAACTAGGTAGAACTTCTTTCTTCATATTTGATCTAATTTTGGTTTATTTTATCTTAAATTTTAAAATAAGTAATGTAGCATAAATTTCATGATATGAAAAACTGAAAGATCAGTCAAGAGTTGTTATATGTTTCCTTGTATCTTTACTACTAAAAATAGTACCTACTCAGGTATTGCCATATTGATTTTATCTCTTTCTCTGCTTGTAGCATTTTTTGTTTGTCAATATTTTGAGTAGATCTGGCCCTACAGTTTTGTGTAGATAAGCAGAATGAGTTTTTTTCCCCTTACAACTGGATTGTTGAAGGAAATGTTCTGGTTCCTTTTAAAGCCATTCTGGGGAGAAGAAATGATTAATGATGATTTCCAATTATAATTTTATTAACTCAATTGAGGTGTATTTAACTGGTAGCAATATAAAAACAAGCTGACAGATTTTGGACAAATTTAAACACTGGGAACTTTGTAGGCATTACCTATATTTTTAATTAACTTTTGTTGGAATATAGTTGCTTTACCAATGTTGTGTTAGTTTCTGCTGTACATCAAAGTGAATCTGTTATATGTATATATATATCCCTTCTTTTTTAGATTTCCTTCCCATTTAGGTCACCACAAAGCACTGAGTAGAGTTTCCTTTGCTAAACAGTAGGTTCTCATTAGTTATCTATTTTATACATAGTAGTGTGTATATGTCAATCCCAAACGCCCAATTCATCGTAACACCCCTTCCCCTTGGTATCCCTAAGTTTGTTCTCTACATATGTCTCTCTTTTTCTGCTTTGCAAATAAGTTTATCTATACCATTTTTCTAGATTCCACATGTAAGTGATTTTATGTGATATTTGTTTTTCTTCTTCTGAGTTACTTCACTCTGTATGACAATCTCCAGATCTATCCACGTCTCTGCAAATGGCACTATTTAGTTCCATTTTATGGCTAAGTAACAGTTCAGTGTCTATGTGTACCACATTTTCTTTATCCAGTCTTCTATTGATGAACTTTTAGGTTGCTTCTGTTTCCTGGCTATTGTAAATAGTGCTGCAATGAACATTGGGATGCATGTATCTTTTTTTTTTTCCCACAAAGAGGATTTTATTGATGGCATTTTTATTTCCCTTCCAAAAAAACCAACTGGAACTAAATGAAGTAAATGATCTCAAACTTTTATTGTCTTCATAATAAAACAAAATATGAAGCTCAAAATTGGATCACTTGGCCCTTTCTCTTCTTATCGCCTCCCAACTCAAAATGCTTGCATCTCTTGATAGCCAGCATTCTCTTCGATCTACAATTGGGCTCAATGCATTCAAGCCTCAGTACAATCTTCTTTGTAGTTTTAGCCTTTTTCCGGAAAATCGGCTTAGTCTGCCCACCATAGCCACTCTGCTTCTTGTCATAACACCACTTTCCCTGGGCATATAAAGAATCCCTGCCCTTCTTGTACTGTGTCACTTTGTGGGGCTGGTGCTTCCCACACTTCTTACAGAAAGTCCGGCGGGTTTTTGGAATGTTCACCATATTTGCGAGAGTGATACCAGCACAAAGAAAAGCGCATGTATCTTTTTGAATTATGGTTTTCTCTGGGTTGTATGCTCAGAAGTGGGATAGCTGGGTCATATGGCAGTTTTGTTAGTAGAGTTTTGAGGACCATCCATACTGTTCTCTGTAGTGGCTGTACTGATTTACATTCCCACCAACAGTTCCCTTTTCTCCACATTCTCTCCAGCATTTACTATTTGTGACTTTTTGGTGATGGCCATTTTGATCACTGTGAGATGATAGCTCATTGTAGTTTTGATTTGCTTTTCTCTAATCTTAATAATTAGTAATGTTGAGCATCTTTTTATGTATTTGTTGGCCATCTCTATGTCTTCTTTGGAGAAATGTCTATTTAGATCTGTGCAATTTTTCGTTGGGTTATTATTTTTTTATATTGAGCTACATGAGCTGTTTATATATTTTGGAGATTAATCCCTTGTTGGTTGCTTCATTTGCAAATATTTTCTCCCATTTTGAGGGCTGTCTTTTTATTTTGTTTATGGCTTCTTTTGCCATACAAAAGCTTGCAAGTTTAATTAGGCCCCATTTGTTTGTTTTTATTTTCATTACTCTAGACAGTGGTCCAAAAAAGGTCTTGCTGTAGTTTATGTTGAAGGTGTTCTGCCTGTGTTTTCCTCTAAGACCTTTATAGTGTCTGGCCTTGAATTTAGATGTTTAATCCATTTTGAGTTTGTTTTTGTGTATAGTGTTAAGAAGTGTAATTTCATTCCTTTACATGTAACTATCTGGGGTTGCCTATTTTAATGCTTACAAAAACATGATATCATTTTGAGAGAGATTAAATTATGTTAACATTGAGAATAATCATTAATATCACTATCAATTGTGGAGAGAATAAAAATCCTTAAATGTATGGTGAAGGCAAGGCTTAAGTCAACAAAGGAGAATTTAAATAAGCATTTTTGGGAAGTCTAAGTCCTCCTAAATAGGCCATTTAGCTATATAAATTTCTATATACCTGTCAGCTGAAAGACAGATATACAGTGTGAGAGTTGTGAATGAAGTTTTATTGAGGGTCTTACTGGGAACTATATGGCCTGGAAGATAGCCTCTCAGATAGCTTTGAGGAACTGCTGCAAAAAAGGTACTGAAGAACCAGCATCTATATTAATTTTTTTCACTGGAAGAAACATAGAGTCAGGCATAAAAGATTATTGCTAGTCAAAAAGAAAAGACATCTTAATGATGTAAGTGCTTCTCTATGTATGGGAAGATGTAAGAATCTGGGACCATTGAAATTCTTTCTTAGATATGAATCTTAACTGTCTTTGGGCCATATATCCAAAACACAATGCTCTATTCTGTTTTTCTGTCTCCTGAATTAACCTCTGGGTGTACTTGCAGTGAGTTGTTGCAGCTTAATCTTTGTATGACTGGACTCGTTGGGCAACATTCTTTCATATCCTTATGCTTATGTAAGATACATATATACATATTTAGTTTACATAGTTTGTAAATTTTAGCGTCTTTTTTTTTTTAATAGAGCACCTTCAATCTTTGGTTTTATAACCTTTGAAGGTGGCAACCAGGCTTAAATTGTTGATGGTCCTTGGGTCCTCTCATATCTGACTTTATAAACCTAAATATGGAAGAAAAACTTTTTATTTCTGTGATGTATGATCTGAAAAATGAATAAAATCAAGCATTCACCTTTTAAGGCATATTAGCAGTCATTACTATCACTGATCATAAATTGTGTAACATTGGGGAAAGCCTAGAATTATTTTATATGGTTTTCAAGTAAACTTCAACAGGGAAACTATGATATACAGATCATAAAGTATTTGTACTTATTATATCAGTTTATTCTTTTTCTATCTGTGGTATTCTGATAATTAATATCATCAAAACATTTCTAAGTAATATTAGTTAAATTTCCAGGAAGAAGTATTTTGTTAAGAACCTTATTTATGACATCTCTAGCAAACTTGACCATCAGTGTTGACTTTAGGAACTATTTATAACCCAAATTTTAAAATCTATATTGCTTTATAGAGATAATATGGACTATTTCTCTTTAAAATTTTTCTCAAGTTATTAACATATCTGCCTGGTTAGACATTCAAAGATAAAAAACATATGTACAGTGAAGGATCTTTCTTCCTTACATATAAGCAAATGTATATGTAACGTAATTTTCTATTTTATGTATTTATAGACAAATATGAAAGTATCACACATTTCTGTTATACAGGTTTG